AAACTGTGGGCACGAACGGTTTCTTCCTATCAAGGCAATGAAGATTTTGCGGGATAGCAGCCAATCCAATGACAAGTGATCCCTGTCAGTTGAAATTGACGATTGAGGGGTCTGAACGTAGCAGCAGGGATGACCTCGACGCGATTGACACTGACCTTAAGCCCATGCAACAGTAGAGACCGGCAACAGCAATGCCAAGTAATGACAACTTTCGCACCTGCATATGCAAGCACATCACTCCTTTAGACACTTGTTGACCCATTTTGAGACATTTTGAGACATTTTGATGCATTTTGAGGCATTTTGAGGCATTTTGATGCATTTTGAGCTATTTTGAGCAATTTTGAGCGGTTTTGACCAAGTTTGGGCAGTTTTTTCGGGCCAGCTTGGGTCATGTCGAGCAATTTTGAGCAGTTTTTGTCGGGCAAGTTTGGGTCATGTCGAGCCACAACATGGCATTGTCGACCTTGGACAGTGTTCAAAATGTCTCAATTGAGGCTGCTTTGAGACAGCTTACTTTGGCTGAAAAAGGTGGCTGATGTAAACCCCACGGATCTAGACCCTAAAACGAGATCAGTGAGTACATATATATATAATAATAATTATTATTATATATATAATTATGTGTATATATATATATATTTACCAGGAAAATGCGCACTATATTTCGATGTTCAAGAACTAGCAAAATGGTGAGTAAGTGGGTTGTAACCCCTCATAAGTAGTATCTACTGGAATATACCACAATGACTAAGCCGCTGCACTAATTTTGGCAACATCTGGAAAGATAGGTAAGTTGGCGAATAATTACGGCCAATGGGTGGATTTCTGGTGGATATATCGATGTGCTCTTTAAAGCTTTGAAGACCAAGTTATAGCTGGGTGGTTGCACTTGGAACTTGGAAACAACTGATAATAGCCACAGCTACGCAAACCATTGATACTTCAGTTTATCCGAAAATTTGAAGGGAAAACCCCCATTCCATCCACCAGCTCACCATCCTTAAGAAAACATTGACTATAGGGGACCCAATGGACCGAGAAAAGTCATACCGGTTAGTGGTATACCTACCCCTCTGAAAAATATGAAAGTCAGTTGGGATTATTATTCCCAATATGATGGGAAAATTATTCCCAATATGATGGGAAAAATACAAAAAGTTCCAAACCACCAACCAGCCATATATTTGTTGCATTTCTAACACTATATCACCTTTATTCTCCATAAAAATATCACTTCATGAAAATCACATCCACCTCATGTGGTGATCTCCTGAAGAGACTGCCCACGTCATCCAGGTCTAAGCCCTTACCATTTCGATGGGATGCACATGAAATTACTTGAACCATTGGTATCCCAGCAACTTGATGGTTTCATAACTTAAATCATCCTTCAATGAACACTTTTTGGTCTTGGTACATTTAAGGTACTCACATGATCTCACATGAACCACTCACAAAAAAAAAACTTCTGACTTGAATAGCAGCCCCCAGGACTTTTGGGACATAAGCATTGAGCAGAAGCTCAATGAACATCAACCAAATGATACCAACAATACAAGGATACAAACCATGATCTCGATTGGGATTCGTGTGTGCATCAAGTTCCATTTTTCCCCACCTGCCAGGTGAGGGTTGTTAGATTTTATGTCAGTTGCCTGCTCCTCTCCTCCTCTCCTCTCCTCCTCCTCCTGCTCAAACGCGACCCTCGACGCACAGTGTTCTCTGTCGGACCTCAACCACGACCATCCACGCCCAGTGTTCCCTGCCGGACCTCAACCACGACCATCCCCGCCCAGTGTTCCCTGCCGGACCTCAACCACGACCATCCACGCCCAGTGTTCCCTGCCGGACCTCGGCCGCGAGTATCCACGCCAAGTGTTCCCTGCCGGACCTCATGTAGGAAGATATGGAACAAAGAATGTGCAGAAGAAAGTTAGAAAGAATGTCAGACAAGTATGTTATATATTACTTGCAAACTCGCGCGTGTGTGGTAGAGTGACCGGGGCAATGCCACTTCTTACTTTGCAGGTGGCAAAGTTTGAAGCAATCAGTTTGAACAGATGACAGAGTCACTGGGGTGAACATGGTTGTGCGACTGGCGGATGTCTTGGCTCCACACCTTGGATTGGTTAAAGACAAACTGGCAGTGGTAGTGAAAGTGGATTTGCACCATGAAGATCAGAAGCGCCTGGGCCGTCGGGAACCTGGATTCTGTCATTTTTTTCCGGACTACATGGCCAAAGGTATCTGGGTGAAATTACTTAAAGGAAAGAATTCGCCCATGGAAGATGCTCTGTTGCAGACGTGGGAAGAAAAGTTTCAGAATGTGGCCGATCACACAACTGACGCAAAGACATTGTTCTTTGTGGAATTGGTGCATGCAGAGCTCAAAATTGATTTGAAGCTAGGCGAGGAAACCGAGAAAATTGAAGTGATTCGCTGGCAGTTTCCTCTTTTGCATGGCATGCTGCGCACTGCTTACAGCGCGCAAGGCTTGACTTTGGACGGAGGTGTGCTGGTTGATTTGCGTCGTGGTGGTGGCCTAGAGGATGCCGACTGGTGGCTAGCCATCTATGTCATGCTGACGCGTGCCCGCAAACTGAAGAATCTCATCTTGCTGGGGTTCACGGAGCAAGTGGAGGAGCTTTTACGCAGAGGCCCTCCTACCTACTTGCGAGAACTGACTGACAAGTTGGAAACCAAAGCTGCTTCGACGCTGGAGCGGCTGCAGTCCTGGCCTGTCTATGATGCATTGCAAGCATCCTGACACAGTGCTCTGCCAGTGGGACCTAATCGGTTTTGACTGAAGAGGTCCGGGGGAGGCATAGGCCTGACACGTTGCCCTACCTGTGGGACCTAATCGGTTTTGATTGAAGAGGTCTGGTGGAGGAATAGAGAGTTGCAGCTGCAGCGATCTGGTGAAGTAACACTGGCATGGTTTTGTCTAGTTTACACACCAGCTTGCGAGCTTTTGACTTTGGTTCAGGTGGTCCACTGGCTTGTTTCAGTCATGTTTTTACAAACATGTTTGACAGGCGGTGTGCTGACATGTTTGGGCATGTTTGTTTGTTTGGCTCAGGTGGTCCACTGGCCTGTTTGGTCATGTTTAAGCAAACCTGTTGAGAGCTCTGGACTTTACTTCACATGGCCCACTGACATGTTTATATCCTGTTTGACAGACTGACATGCACAATGACCTGCCAGGTGAAACAAATGATTGGGATAGTTAGTTGGGCAAAAGTCCCGTGACAAAAGCTTCAGACAAAAGTGGTGTCAACAAGCTGTTTTGAAATGTCATGGTGGGGATCACTCGAAGTAAAGTATTTTTTTTACTCCTGCCTTGCGCGTAAATGACCAAAAGCAACAGGAAAATTAGAAGCGCGCGTTGGCGCCATCACCAGGAAGCCTTTGAAATTTGGTGTGTTTTGTAACAACTGTTTGAGTCTCATAGGGTTTTGAATGGAAGGGTGATGAGAAAAGTAGAGGTTGGTGGGTTCTTGAAGAAAACTAAGCATGTTGTGTAGCCAATGTTGTGAAGGGCGGCCTCTTGTTGTCTTTTGTGTTGCAGCAATACGATCCCTGTAGGCTGAGCTAAAAATGACGTGATGATATGGATCGCCCGGCGGAGTGGCCAACACTTCAAGTAAAATTTCCGTTTGTTGTTTAAGGACTATTTGAGACGCTGTGGTGGGTTTACCTGCCCTCTGCCAAACCGTAAAGTTAGAAACTCTTGAAATATAGGAAGCTGGTATTCCTAAAACCCTACGAAGGAGTCGAAAGTAATAGCCGTCGATTAGTTTAAAATGTTTGTGCGCAAGCGTCAGACAGTTCAACCCATAGGTCAAAAAAGACACAACTACTGAGTGGAAAATACAAAGCTTCGTTGTTTGTGGGAGCCGGCTGTTCCAAACTAGTCTAATGGATTGGAGCGCTGTCCGAGCTATTGAAAAACGTGCGGCTATAGCTGTTTCGGTAGGGTGATCCCATGTAACGACCGAGCCTAAATATTTCACACTGGTTGTGATTGGGACAGGTTGACCGTTGGCGAAGTTCATGGCTGCATCAGATTGGGGGTCGCGTACAAGAAGTTCGCTCTTAGCAAAATTAAGGGACATGCCATACTTACTAGCTTCTTGTTCTAAAGCTTGTAGCATACTTTCAAGTTGTGGGGTGGAAATACCGAAGATAAGCGTATCATCTGCGTATTCAACATCGAAGACTGGTTTACCGATGGACCAGGTGTTGGTTGGGGTACCCTGCTGAATGAGTCTTAACTCAGTGTCTTCCAAAATAAAAGAAAGAATCAAAATAAACAGATATGGACTAAGAGGGCAACCTTGGCGTATGCCTGACGAGACCGCGCCAGTAGCTACTTGGCCGTTCATACCCATGATGGAGAATTCGGGGGACGTGTAAAAATCCTGGATGATTTCTATATAACCCGGGTGAATGTTCCATCTCTGAAGACCTTTAATAAGGGCGGAGTGGTCAAGTGTGTCAAAGGCTTGTTTCCAATCTAAGAATAGCATGTGCATGGGTTTACTCAGTGCCCTCGACCAGTCTTGAATGCGTCTGACCAGGGAATAGTGCGTGACGTGTACCGCGTGCAGAACGGAATCGGAATCCATATTGGGTAGGACGAATATATGAGTCTAGTTCGCTTGCTAATCTATGTTGGAGAATGGTAGCGTATAGTTTTTACAAGACGGGTAGCAGGGAAATGGGGCGGTAGGAGGCAGGATCTTGATCATTACCTTTACCCTTATAGAAAGAAACGACAACAGCCATCTTCCATTCTTTTGGAATCCGTCGCTTACTCAGACATAAGTTAAGTAAATTCAAAAGCTTGAGTTCCCCATACGCGTCAAGAGCCTTTATCATATCTGCGGTAAGATCATCATGGCCGGGCGCTTTGCCCTTACGCAGCTTATCAATGGCAGTTGAAAGTTCTACCGAGGTATGGAGCCATTGGTTCCACATGAAAGTTCGATATGTAGTCAGCCAAAGTCCTGGAAAAGGAATCAGTGGACAGCGGTTGCCTAAAAACCACTCTGTACGATGCCAGGTCCCTCAGCAAAGAATGATGGCTGAGAGCAACAGCGCTCAGCGCATGCTCGCTGATGTATGCCACCACACGAGAACAGACACGTTCCGTGGATGTCGTCTCCGATCCTGAAGCCTTCACAGTGGCATTGAGCGGCGTGAGGTGGCTGATCTCCATGCCGCGACATATGATGAACCTGTTATCCATCGCCATCTCAACGGCTTCATCACATATTTGACGGGAGATGAGCCACTGCAGCAAATGCTGAGAGTTACCGCTGTCGTACTCTTCAGACAAAACTGGTAGCTCTGCAAAGTGCTGCTGCCAGTTGTCTTCATCAAGTTCTATGTTCAATTCAAAACAAGCGGATTTTGTAACTGCATATTTTGTCGGTTATTAATTTAAGTCCTACAAAGTTACAAAGTACTTGTTCGCAAAGTTTCCACCAATTCCAGAAAGATCAAAAAGCAATGGTGGGCAAAGAAGCACCAGGAGTGATCGCCCACTACATGGATTCTGTGCAGGAATCGTCAGTGAGTAAAACAATATACTACTGTAATATTATCTAACAATATTACTCACAGAGTACGCAGTACATAAACTTACGGTGGATTAGTGGGTGATATCCGGGATGTCCTAGTTCATTAACCACTTATGAGGATACAGTACATCGTGGGGTGATTTTAGATGGCTGATTTCACCATATTCCCTTGATCTTGGAAAACAAAAACACTTTTGTAAAGGTGAACTCACCCCAAAAAATAGTAACATATTTCGAGAATTTATTGAAAGTACATGAACGTACTATAGTCATTGATCAATGATTCAAAGTCCTTTTTGGATCATCGAGAACATTGCCAATCTTAGATATTCCCATTAATACCAAAAGACTAAAGGATTAAAGTATCCATCTAAGATTGACCTAGTTTGGATCATCAAGAATAAGACATCCCTGAAACATCCTGAAACATCCAAGCGACTGATCCGGGTGATCATCCAACTCCTCGGCTTCCAATTCCTGCGGAAAAATTCTTCCAGACCGCGGTATGAATAGGTCCGGCCCTACTTCTTCCCGTGTCATAAGGCCTGTGGACAGCAATAGAGGCCCCAACCACAAGGGGGTTCTATATATTGTGTATATATATATATAATCCGACAGGTAGGGTAAACCACCATATACACATTGCTGTGGGAGGTTGGCGACGGTCTCCGAGAGAACTAAAGCTATCAGCAGTTTCAGCTGTGTTTTAACCATGTTCAGCTGATATGTTTTTGAACTTTTTCCCCTATATTCGTCATGCCGCTTGGGATTAGTCCATAGTATAAACATCCACCCGTATCTACCAGTCATAAAGAAAGGTGTCTCCACCCATCATGAATCACAGTTCGCCTCGTTCACCAACTTACCAATCGTTTAGGGGCCCCACAAAAGGATGTGCAGGTCATGTGTGCCCCAGGAAAGCCAGGCCGCTGTTCTCACAAAAAAAAAAGTAACTCTACCCTTAGTGGTAGATATATCTACAGTCAGTTAATCATTAAATATAACTAGTATGAGTTCGTATACACTATACCCTCCGGTCATTTAACATAGCCATGGAAGGCATGGCCCATAGAAATAGATGGTTTACCTATTAATAGCATGGTGATTTTCCATGGCAAACTGTTAGTCATAACCAGGTGGTAAACACATTTCACAGGGGCGCAGCCTATGGCAATGATGCGTCGTATGTTTGGACCCATGGGATCTCCTGCAGGTAGGCGTCCAAGAGCTTGTGATCTGTCCTCCGACCTAAGCGCCATGGATGAAAAATCTTCGCTTGTGAAAAGTGCTTCATTGGATTTCATTGGTTTATTTATTACAATTGTTGATTTTGCATTTTTTTAGGTATTCCATTTAAGTGTTTGCTCTTCTTTGAAACACAGAGAACAAAACATATTCAAACGTGTAGTGTGCCTATACGCTGTGATAACTTCCTTGACGTTTAGAGCAAATTACATGTAAACCAGCCATGCTGCTGGGTATTGATGGCATTTGGTTCTACACCAGGATCTAATAGAACCGGAGATATTCTGGCAACCAACAGAGATACTACGAAATCTCCAAGGTCTTTAACAGTTGAAGCTTCTTTAAGTGTTCCTGCTCAATCGTCAAAAAAGGAATGTCACCCGTCACCCATGTTCTATTATGGTGATCTCCAGCATGTGGCATACTGTTGATGAGGATAGCTGAGAGACAGTTTACTGTTTAACTGTTGCGATTACCAAAGACCAAAGATTCCATGTGCTTTGGCTTGTTTTTTGTTCAGGTGCCTTCAGTTGGAGCGGCAGGGATCTCTGTGATGTGATTTGGAGGTGGGCACCCACTGAACAGTGGAGCGTTCCCTGAGCTGTTGCGTGTCTCACGGCTCTTTTTGTTGAAGACCCTAGTAATCGGAACCGTGGCTTATCACAAGGTTATAACCCCAGTGAAAACATGCTACAACTGAACTACATAATCCGACTTCATTACCCGGTCTGAGTTAACTGGAGTAAACTGACCACAAGCACGATTCCTGGGGTGAACCGCCAAGTTCATGCAAAGAGCCGCCGTTTTCCAACAGTCGGATTTGGATAGGTGAAAAAGCAACTTACAGGAAGGCCCCCCCAATATAAGCTGTTTCGCAAGCACATCAACCTATAGACTATAGATATATCCATTTCAAATTTTCAAATCCCAAATAAACATATATAAATATATCTTATATTTTATCTTATACGAACAAAAAAAAGTGTGTCTCAAAATGCGGTATCTCCCAGAAGTTAATATTACGATCAAAATGATGATAAACCATTCCAAACCATTGTATTTTTGGAGTACCCTATTTTCAGACCCATATGGATGGCCGATGACATCCATTTCTATCCAGTCATAGACCTGGGGGTGCAACAACCAGCTCACGAAATGTCATGTAGCTGCTAGCAGTTTCCGGTAAACTGAAGGTCTAGGAACCCCTTAAAGCAGCAAACGTCTTCCAGCTTGTGAGCTGGCGGTTGAGCCACCCTCATATGCTCGTCAATTGGGGTCCCATTTTGAGGGTGAAAAGATATCGAAAACGTGTTTGAAACCCACCACCTTCAACAAGATTCTGCAACCACTTTCCCAACAACAACCCAACCGGATTAAAAGTGTAGAATAGCGACTTTGGTGTTTGTTTTCCACTCCTATTAGCTATATTACCCATCATGGCCTTTTTTGGGTGGTTATTAGCTACCATTTTTTACCTGGCTTGTCTTCAGGTTGACAGAAACTCCTTTTGTACTGCTAGCCTGCACCAGGTTCAAAAGACTTACCTATTTGAGTGTCTGAAAATAGATATCAACACCTATTGATGAGTGTATATGGAATATCCCCTATTATATATGGGATGAACTATGGGTTATATAATGTTATACAAATATAACGGTTATGACGTGGATTGTAGACCACTTACTAAGTGGGATATGTGCGTGCACGTATGATGATCAAATAAAATGATGAACCACATGATTTAGGGTTGGCTCGATTCCAAACAACGCAGATTCTTTACCAGTTGTAAGATGATCTAGATGGACACAGCATACCCATATGCTCCATGGCTCCATGTATGCCCATATGCTCCATGGCTCCATGTATGGTATATTTACCTACATCTGGGCACTTTTTGCGGTAAAAAGTAGTAAACGCTGCATAGGTGGGATAAACGAATATGTTGTGTATATATATTTATAAATATTGTACATACATATGTCTTATGTCTCTTCTGTGTATCTCCTCTTATACACACTTATACAAAAACCACACCCATTCACAGGATCCAATTGAAGAATTTCCAGGATCCGTTTCTACAGCGATTGGAGTCCACGGTACCGCTTACGGCAGTCGAATGCTGTTTATCCACCTCCTTAGCTCAAGAAGTGAGAGGAATGGGGGTTCCCAGGTGTGAACAGGCGACGCCAACGACTAAGCCGTGCTTAGAAATCTGATGGATTTCAAGTTCATAAGGATGTGCTTAAGCACAGTTTACAAGTTGTTTACGCCGATCAGGAATTTCCTTGTGCAAGGCCATTGAAATACGCAAGGTTCCATTTCCAATTACACCGCTTTGGTTTCGGTGACCATTGGTAATTGGTACCAAACTCTTCAAAAAAACAAATGCCTACAGGTTCATGGGAATTCTGTACATGCCAGGACTCAAAAGTTGTTACTGATCGCAGTGACAACGCAGATGGAAATTGGATAAACCCAAACCATATATGGGTTACTAAGTGTTTGGAGACTTACTAAGCGAGATGGACATCCAAGAAGTCAGGGCCTTCAGGGTTGCCAGAACCAGCCAGGAACTGACTATATAATGAAACCAACTCATGGACGATTTTCTGGAAAAACACATGGTTTCCCTGCCACCCTCAAGGGATGTCCATACCACGCTCAATGATATACCATGTCTCTGCCATGTTGCTGGTTGGCTTCAGGCCCCAGAAAGGTTGGGCTCAGAATCCCCAATACAGTTGAACATAAAACATGTTTGAAACCATAATCAAGACAAACATAAACTTCCAGCGGTCGATATATCTACCAAATAAACAACACTTATGTAGCCTAGTGAATTCAAACTATAAATCCCCCAAGTGTTGCGTGTTTATTGAACTCATTCTTGCTGGATTTCGCCCTCCCCCAATTAGGGAAAGCCGCCGGTGACTTTGGTTTCACCTTGGCGAGATGCTTGGGATTTGCCCTTGTTGTGGTTGCTGTTTGTTTCAGCCCTATGCATAAAGCCGACATAAAACCAAATATTTCTAGAGTCCGCTAGCTGCACAGCCCCATGATGCTTTACCTATGTGCATGAAAACACATTTGCATTGTGTGTATGTGTAGATGTATGTATGTATGTTTTAAAATAAAGTATGGTAATATATATACACACATATATATATATATATATACATAGTATTTTTATATATACATAAATGTAAATCGTTGTAAATAAGAAATTCCTAAAATGTATAATGTTACATGCATTCTATACGTGTTTCTCAAACCGAATGGGCATCGCAACTGCCGTTGCTTGGTCGCCCTCTTGGGGTGACATTAACCCTTCAATTGATTGAATAATATTGAATACCAAAAAATGGAGACTCCCATATCCCCATTAGGAATTATTAAGTACTTTAACTATACGATCAACTCCCACCATTTGCACCGTGTTTGGAAGAGTTCGACGTGATCATCATCATCATCATCATCATCATCATCTCATCGTCTTCCTCGTCTTCCTCGTCTTCCTCGTCTTCCTCGTCTTCCTCGTCGTCGTCGTCGTCGTCGTCGTCGTCGCTGCCGCCGCCGTCGCCGTCGTCGCCGTCGTCGTCCTCGTCATCGTCATCATCATCATCATCATCGTGTCATTGTCATCATCGTCATCATCGTCATCATCATCATCATCACCATCACCATCACCATCATCATCATCATCGTCATGGTCATCGTCATCGGCATCGTCATCATCGTCATCATTGTCATCATTGTCATCATCATCATCATCACCATCACCATCACCATCATCGTCATCATCATCAGCATCATCATCCTCATCGTCATCGTCATCGTCGTCATCATCATCATCATCGTCATCATAATCACCATCACCATCACCACCATCATCATCATCATCGTCATCATCATACATCATCATATATCATCAAATATCATTTATCATCAAATATCATCAAATATCATCAAATATCATCAAATATTTAATATCATTAATACAGTCAAATATAGTCATACATCATCATATATCATCATATATCAACATCATTGGTATGCTGCATCGTGATCTTGGGCACAGCATCAAAGTCTTGTGCAAGGTCGACTGAGCGTTATCATCGCCCCATCCCGCCCCACCCCGTCATCTAAGGCGGAGCATCAAAGTCTTGTGCTAGGTCGGGTGAGCACTAGCATCGCCCCACCTCACCCCACTCCATGTGAGCGTAGCATCAACATCCTGTGCAAGGTCGAGGGAACGTGGTCGAAGAAACGGTAACATCCCGACCCCACCCGACCCCATGCGAGCGTAGCATCAACATGGAGGGAAGGTGGCCGATGGAACGTCAATATCCCCACCCCACCCCACCCCATGTAAACTGTGGTGCAAATGGTGGGCGTTGCGTCTAACTCTACGTATACTTACAACACATTTATCTTAATGTTTTTAAATATCATATATTGCATATAAGCATATACATATATATAATTACAGTATACATATTGGACAATTTGTCTTAAAATGGGCTATTCCAAATCCATGCGTTTATCGATTTTCAGGCAGACATCTGGCTGAAGTGTACTAATTCACTAACCTGGAAATAGCTGTTATCATGCAGTCATTTGGGGATGATTCCCCTTGCTAGCCATCATTCCAGTGACGTCACGGCTTGAAGTTAAATTATAATTCATCCAAATACATGACATACCCGTACATAGTTATGCTTCGGGGTATATTAATCTCATTACTAATCTCTACTGGTTCCTATGAAGAATCGCTATTGTTGGTGCTTCAATCCCATTACATCCCCACAATATATCACCAGCATCGTGGGATCATCGCTGTGCGAGTCGCGACCTCGGCGACCTCGTCTTGCGGCTCCGTCTCAGCATCCTCCGGTGACATAGCGGTGACAAGAATCATCGGGAAATCTGTGGTGAAATCCAATGTTTATGGGAAACACATATGTTTAAGTATGCTAAACTATGTTAAACTGTTAAAGTTCAACAACTTTTCAGGGTTGGAACGTAAAATGGGTATGGTCCAAGAATAGGGTACCAATGGACCTGCCAAATTGGTGATGCTAGTGTTTAGCAATCCGTTCTTTCTGGATATATGATCGTAAACCATACCTATACGTAAAAGCCCAAGTGTCTCTGATTGGAACGCGAACGGTTTGCATACCAGAAACAACTGTAATTAAATGATTGTTGATCATGGAATTTATGCTCTCAGTATCTTAAACTCCTTTTGTTTGGAGTCTACACCTGTAAGACCCCTGTTTTTGCTGTGTGCCTGGGCGCTGTGGCCTTAATATTCCCAAGGTTTTTTCCGCATGCTTCCCCCTATTCAGATGGTCCCGAACCAAAGACCCACCAGTCACGGGTTTGCTCACCTTTTTGCTGGGCTACCTTCCAGAAAACTCAAATAGATGTAATAACATGGCTGTTGCATATGTTTGCAGGAAAGTGATCTAGGAATTGCGTTTTTTTTGCCACATCGATGATCGTTTTCGGGCGGGTATGTTTTCACAACAACCAGATTGCTATCAAAGCAAGGCTTGCTCAGCGGTGCCCTGCTGTTCACAAAATGCTTGTCCTGCTGGGATATGAACAATATCAAGTGTTGAGCATGCTTGGTGTAAAAAAATATTCATGCCCTACAGCAAAAAAAACCTTTCTGGATTCTGAGACTGTGATGGTGGCAGTTGGAGGACCAGGGATTGATTTTCACCTCAAAAAATGATATCGTACAAGTGTGAGCATTGTGTATAATGGAGGGACACATGTTTGCGAGGGCAGCTTTCAAAGGCACAGTGATTTCTTGGCAATTATTTGCACGCGGTTCTGAGATTTCTGAACAAAGAAACACAAGCACTGTATATATATGGCTAGCGGCTAACGGTGTTTGGTGCCTTGCCGGTATCAAAGCATTCGGTATTCACATGTTTTTTTAAGGTGCAAACACGTACAAATTTGCTAAGTAACCATGCGGTTCCTCATTTTTTTGCATGTGCAGGAAGGCTTTGAAGTGACAAGCTGCTTGTAAACCCATCCAACCGTAGATATATCAGTTGCGACCGCCACTTAGCGTAGTCAAGTACATCAACTTACCGAACAACATTACCAAATCAGAAGCCCTCAACGCTCTTCGGCATCTGGGGGCCATCGTAAAGAGTTTGACATAAATATCAGGATTGGTTCAATCGAATGGTTTGCAGGTAAAATCCCAAGCTGTATGGTTGAATCCGCATTTTTTATGGCTAACTCCTATAATATTTATTGGTGAATTCACAAGTCGTGTTGGCTTACTGTTTATAATCGTGGTTCATGTCCTTTTGGTGAACGGCACCACCTATTGGTTGGTTGAATCCGAGATCTTTTTGATGACCAAAGGGTAAAGGGTATACATCTTTCGCTTCTGCAACGTCATATATTTCAGGCCACATCACCCGATTTTGCAGGTTCCAAAATTCGCCTTTCGTTCGTTTTGGTGGTATCCAGTGGCATTCCAATTTTTAGACGCACCAGTGTGGATTCGTAGATTTCAGAGATCCCACAAAACTAGAGAAAATGGATGGTCAAGTAAGGCCATCCCCGAAATTTCCACACATGAAATGACATAAATCATAATTCCTAATTGTATCCAGTATCCTCCAGTTTTCACCTTCCATGACTCCATTTCCGATACCTTTGGGCCGTCCCATGACGCCCCTTTCCCGCGCCTGGAACCTGGTACGCCGTGGCGGTTCCTGCGCCTTGCCACGCTCCTCCTCCTCCTCCTCGTCGTCCAATTCCTGAGATATGGGGTCAGCCAAAGCCAGGACCTCAATCGTTTCCATGGACGAAACGGTACCAGTTGTCAAATGAGATTCAAATTTGGAGAAATCTATATGATGGTAACAAAATGTGACAAATGCCAGTTCAAACTGAGGAATCTCGCGTACCAAAACATCTGACCAAGAATTTGGATTTGATCAACATATAAATGATACAAGGGGGTGCCGACAGCTATAAGTTGCAATGGTTTGCAATGTTTGCTGGCTCCAAAATGCTCCAAACCCCTGGTATCACTATATACTGCGATATATAATCTATACCGTACCATAAATCCGACCGTTGGCCTAGTGAATCCATGTGAATCCTATAACCAGCTAGACCATCGCCTTGTAATTCTCATGGCCAAGCCCTAGCAGTGGATCTAGCAGCTCTTGGTCTCCCAGGAATTCTATGGGAAAGTTACAATCCCAGCGAAAGAACTGGAACATCAAACTTTCAAACCCATGTTTTTTCCTATTGGGTGGATAAATGTTCCTGGGGTTGGAAAAGCGCTGACATTTGCTTAGGGGAAAAACAAACCTCTCTTATTGCTGGACTTGCAGGTGGTAAAGTTCCAATCAACCGGCCAGTGGTATATCGCTAGCTACGTATGTGTTAAATAGATCTCAATAGGGGTTGTAGACGGGTTATAGATGGGTTTTAGATGTATTACAGATGGGTTATAGATTGTGGTATGGTCTGGCTATCAAGTGAGGCCGCAGATGCACCCCGAAGTAGCTACCAACGATATAGGTTTGAAGCAGTAAAGTTCAAACAACCAACATAGGCATTCAACGTGATTCAACCAGCAGCAATAGTGATACAAACAAGTTCTGGAGAGAGGTGCCATCAACAAACACTGCTGACGCACGCACGGCTGCAGGAGTACGATTTACTATAGTTCCGCCAAGCATCGTCCAGCATTTCTTGTAGAACATCTGATTTGGTTCTTCTGCCTGAAGTAAAGACCGGAAACCACTGGGTCTGGGGGTTGAGACAGTTGTGCAATTACTATCAAGTACGTATATGAATGTATATGTTATGACTATATCCGGGCAAATTTCTGATTTTAAGGGCTATCGAACGACCATTTCAAGTGATTCTAAAGCACGCAGAATTGGATATATATAATTAAAAAACATTGCCATTCATGGCAAAAAAAATCATTTGGCGTGTTCCTGGAACTGGGACCCACTAAATCATTTTTAGTCCAGAATCCGATGTGCAGTTCCACTTAATAAGTGTGTATTGGCCAAACTCATAGACGTAGTATCCCAACTTATGCAATTTATAATCATGGTTCACCCATCAGAACCCCCAAAACACCATGTGGACTTACCCACTACTGGCCCGACCAGGACGGGTCCAAGGTGCTCTTGACCGTCTCACGGACGGTTGGTACCACTGGATGAGGTCCTGCCTCTTCCTCCTGCAGTTTTTGGAGAGTTTGTGGTGCGGCTTCCAGTGCCGGATTCGCAGTGGTTCAGACAATGTTCAGACTGGTTCCGGAGGCTCCCGTGAAGGTTGCTCCAAGGGTTCCGGTGCAGTTCCAGGTGGTTGTCGAGATTCCAAAGGTCCCACACTTCTGGAAAAATGTTGTTCCAGTTCGGTTTTGGGGTGGTTCCGGGTGGCTCCGGGTTCTGCTGCGGGTTCCGCGGTGGAAGTTTCGGTGCAGGTCGGTGTTGGATCTGGTTCCAGTGCGCCACAAGTAGTGTTGAGATTTTTTTTTTGTTGTGCATTTTTTTTAAATCATGCTTGCTGGTGAGGATTCAGTCTCTGTTGGCCAAAAGCAAATTTTGCATCCTCCTTGTCATTCCCTGGGTGGGTTCGCAGTGGTCCATTTTGGAGGGAACCAGCCTTTTTGTCTACAAAATGGTTGTGGGACCTCTTCTCCAGCCTACCAAATGGTATGGCCATAGACCCTGGGCACTTCATGGCCTACAAAATGGTGGTGCCTGTCAATTGTCTTGGATCTCTTGAATCCACAACCATTTCGATATTTTTCATCCAACAATGATCAAACAGGCGCATTCATGCTCTTATAGAAATTGTTTTAAAAGAACAGAGCCATTTTGTAGAGTTTACACCTCCCCAGGAACACAGTTCAAACTGCCTTTTTCCCGCTGCCATTTTGTAGAGCAAAACCATGTCAATCGTCCTTTTTGCGGCTCTTCTGGTGTCTGCGCGGCCGTATCATCCCCAACGCCCAACACCGCAATGCAATGTGCCAAAAGCACCAAGTGCGTGAGGGCGAACATTGCTGTCAGGTGGCCCGGGCAAACGCAAGTTCCTCTGAGCCAACCGTGGCAACCATAATCTGGCACATCACAAAACATGTATACATGTATATATATATAAATAGAAAATGGTAAATGTCTTGGAACAATTGGTTCTCTATAGAATGGCTACCTGGTTTTTGCTTACCAATGGCCAACTCATATTATCTTTAAAAAAACAAAACGTACCCTGAAAAACCTCTAGAAAACGTGTTTTTTGTTTCTTACAGATCTGTTGGGCTTGGTGCCCATACATGATCATGCCATCAAAATAAAAATGACAAAACCAACTAACACCCACTAATTACTACAAAATTGTAGCCCTGACCCATTTTTCAAACTCATTTGCCACAGAAGTGTCACTTTATGGAGGGTCAACCTATACCATTCTGTGGTGCAAATGGCGACGGCGATAATTTTTCTGGTTTCATTGTTTGGTTGACTCTGTTGCTGTCTTTTTTTGATTGGTCCATAGAATTGCCAGTGGTGCCCCGTCGTGCTGGGGAGGAAGTTTTGAAACACTGACATGACGATAAAAAAACGATGGCTGTACGAATGCCTGGGAGATGCAGAAGCAATGAAGTGTTGAGGCTGTGATTTGCATCAACGAATGGGTCTAGCAAATTGTTGCTGAGAGGCCAATGAAATGACATGAAAAAAATCAATGCACAACGGTTGGATGAATTGAAAAAACAATCTATGCATGAATGAACGAATGAAGGAAAGAAACAAGGAATGAACAACTGAATGAATGAAGGAAAGAAGGAATGAAGGAACAAATGAATAGATAAATGAATGAATGAATGAATGAATGAATGATTGAATGAATGAATGAATGAGTGAATGGATGGATGGATGAATGGATGAATGAATGAAGGAACGAAGGAATGAAGGAATGCATGCATGCATGCATGCATGGATGGATGGATGGATGAAGGAATCAATGGATGAATAAAGGAAGGGACGAACAAACGAATAAATGAATGGCTGACTGGCTGCATGAATGAAGGGAGGAAGGAACGAATGAAACAAGGAATGAATGAATGATTGACTGACTGACCGTTGGAATCAACCACTGAATCAACCAATGAACTGATCAATGAAACGTTGGATGGATTAAACAATCAATGAACCAATGAAAGAACTGTTCCATGGGTGAGTGGTCCAATGGATGAAGCGGTAGGCGGATGAATCAATAAACCAACCGACGATTCAATGAACGACTGAACCAATGAGTGAGTGAATCAATGAGCGGATCAATAAATGCAAGGATGGATGAACAGGTAAATGGATCAATGAATATAAATGAACGAATCAATGAAGCAACCGCCAGTTAATTACTAACAACCAGCGAGTCAGTGAATCAATGAACCATTGAATGAACCAATGAGTCAATGAAACTCAGCTACTTATTCTCTGACCCGCTCCTCCTCTGAGCTACCGCCCTTTCGCGGAGCTATCTCTTCAATTCTTCTTTTTGCCGAGCCAGTACAAGGTGGCGACCCCCTGGTTACTAGAAGGTGTTTTTTTAACCCCGCAACTAAAGATGTATCTATCATAAACCCACGGTACTGGGGTTATAAACCAACTTAACTAGCTATGGGGCACTAACTTGCACAATGCGTTTTCCAACCTCCAGCTGCAATCCCGGAAAGCACGAGAGGCACCATGCTCCAAACGATTTGTTGCAGCTTTTACAATGTGTTTTGCAACCTCCAGCTGCAGTCCCCCAAAGCTGCAGAATCACTCATACTCCCCTTGCGCGCAGCTGTGCCAATGCGTTTCGTCACCTCCAGTTGCAATCGCGAATAGCAGGAGCCTCACACCAAATTGAACAACATGCACAACAGGGACGATTCTGCAGTCTGTGCCCTTCAGTTTTTAGATACTTTTCTGCGAAAACGGGCTCTCACTATACAGTCTCGTGCGGTTTTTGGGCGACAGCTTTACCAGATCGAACATTCGTGGAAACACAGACCCTACCTCAGCGACGCGTGGAGCCACCCTACCTGTAAAAGCACAGGGACTCGCGCCGCACTTCCATGGTTTCACCAGCGAACCTACACACTCCCAGACTGTTACTGTCATCTTTTGTTACCACTGTGGTTGACATGATGAAAAGACTGACCATGGACATTCGTTCGTAACTCGGAAGTTTGCAAACTATAAACTTCCTTTGATATAACCCCCATAGAACCATCAGTCAGCATTAATTTCACTTATCAGCTACAGCAGCTACATCCCAATATGTTTGATGGTTGGATCCCATTTAAATGCCATGAATCACCGGACCATATACCTTCTGGCTATCAAACATGGCTATGGAAAATGGCGCAGCTATGAGTTGAAAATGGTGCAGCTGAGATAGCCAGAGGATAATAATATATCCATTCGGTTGATTTTGATCATAATCCTATGAAATCCCCAAAAATAAGAATCCATTTTTCCTGGTTCAGTTGATTATGGCGCTGGTGGTTTTGTCTCTTCACAGGCGCTCCTCCACATCTTCAAGTGCCAGGCCTGGTCCGACGCCATTTTCGAAGCCTAGCTGGGGCTTTTTGTTCATCCCAGTCAACTATGTACATTTGCCACATATATACTACAGATATATCTACTATAGATATATCTACTATAGATATATCTACTATAGATATATCTACTATAGATATATCTACTATAGATATACCCAACTCTGGACTGTTGATAGGCCTACTATCTACTATAGATATATCTACCGAGAAATTGATTGAACAAAAAAACTATGATTGTTTAACACACATTAAGTATAGATATATCTACAATACACCCTAGTGAAATTGGAGTTGAAACCAACTTAGCCACTCGCAAGGTAAAGCCGTCCCCCCCAGCGACCTGTTTGTTGGATTATTTTTGTGTTTGGAGGTTGCTTTCAAGGTAAGTAAAATTAGTGTAGTTGCTTCATTTATTTCACTGGCGTGATGCAAATACCAACTTACAAACGGGCCTGAAGCACCAACTGCGTGTTTCTGGGCAAAACAGCTGGATGTGTGATGCGTGGTAAACAAAACAAACACACATTGAGCTTTAGTCGTCCTACCCATATAGTCGCATTACATCATCTTAATCCAAACATTACAGTAAATATCTAGGACCCCAAAATGAATAGATTCAAATCAAATCAGGGTTCCAAACAAATTTAATATTAGAGGATGTGATTGTAACCATGTTTTCCCATGCATTAGTATATTTGCTACAAGAAGGTGCCCCCCAAGGTGTATTTTCACCCATCAAGGTTAATCAGCTAATGGGGATAGACCAGCAAACAGTTCACTTGGAGGCATCACCTTGTAGCACCGGAGGGCCAACAACCGGCAAAGGGTACTGACTGGATCATATCCACCCCCGGACCAGCCAGCCCCTACATGGATGTGCATCCCAGTTAGTAAGTCGGTATTTAACCATATTATGCCCCAGTTGTATGTGGCCATGTGTACACACATATATATATATACAGTAAATTATTTGCATACGATCCTTTGCGTTAAAAAACCATAAACCAAATACATCCAAATACGATCTATAAATCTAAAACATGCGGGCTGTTAGCTTGGGGGTATCAATTGTAGCTGTCTATAGGGCCCCCTATATCGGTACCACTCTGGGGGTATTGATTTTAGCTATCTATAGGGCCGCATTGAACCGTTCTTTTTCCACAGGGCGATGCCGCCGTTCATTAACTAACTTAGTTTACAACTGCAATCACTGTTGGATTGATAGCAAATATATCGAACGAGTTCATGGGGTTCATGAACCAACTTACAACATCTTAAAACATCTTAAAACTGGGGTGCACCAGATTGAAGGTACGTTCCACTGGATTTGGGTGGTCCCTATCCCAATCTGTAAAGTTCCCCAGGGCAAATTGGCATAGTCCATTGCAGTGTTTGAGCTTGACACCGCGGTATCACGGCGGTTGTTGCTTTTTAAATGATGGACATTCAGAGCAGACAATGGAGCTACTAATTCATCAGACCGAAGTTCGAAGATGTTTAACAATCACCAAGCTAGAATCCGCCGGCCTGCCGGCGTGTCTGATTGGAAGGTGTTGTTCTTGTTTCTGTGGCTTGTCCTTGTTCCTTTGTTCTCTTGCTTCGCGTTTTTGCTTCGTCTGAATCAAGGTCGCCCCCCCCTCCCCCCCCAGTAATTACTCATTTGGTATGCATTCCATTGGTTGTTCAAGCACGCACTTGCTACTCAAGCTGCTTCTGATCTACGGCTCTGTCTTCGTCTCTTCTTCTCTCATGCTTCCACCTAGCGTGCACGTCAACCTCCCTTGGGGCAATCTCTCTCCCCTGTCTCCTTCCATGCAGCGGTCTGCTGTCAAGCCAGAAGCTCATACATAGTACCTGGCGCTACTTTACTGGAAACGGTACTAATTTGGTATACGGTCAATAGGTTGTTACAGCAAACCTTGCTACACAAGCCGCTTCCGTTTTACGGCTTTGTCTTCGTCTTCCTTTCTTATTTTTCTTCTTCTTCTTCTTCTCCTTCTTTTCTCTTCTGCTCTCTCGCGGGCTTCCACCTAGAATGCACATCAAACTCCCTCGGGGCCACCTCTCTATGGCCGGCGGGCTTGCCGAAGGCAAATAAATATTTTTGCCGGGTTGGTTCCACTCATTGATGGTGACATCGTTGTGAGGTTGCTAACATTCATCCGGTCACCTAGATTAATCCTCAGAGCGATCACTGGTGCAAAGTAGGGTAGGGACCACATAGCCCGTGGCCCATTCTTTGTCCAGGCCCCAGTTTGATGAGTAGAGCGTCGTGTTGATGGTTGATCGTGAATCCATAGACTAAATGCTTCGATCTCTGGTTTCTTGGCCACATCCCCATCTGTCTGTGATAATGTAGAGCCCCATGTGCTTTTCTTCACCCGATTCAAAAACTATTGAAGAACAAAACGAATAACCAACATGCAAAACAAAAACCCTTAACTTGGCATCATTGTCAAACTCAAGAAACCTTGGCAGTAACACTTTACCGATTTGCTAGAGGTTCAACTTGGTTGTGGGCGAAAAAACATGGCCCAGCTTCGAACCTAAAACTCTTCGGCTAAAATCTACACACCTTCACCAGTGCCAGTGATGCTTGAGGGAACCCCTGGCCCAAGAACCTTCATGCTCCACATGCCCAGGAATCGGCGCGCTGGCACCCTCACGATTTTCCTCAGGGTGTAGTGAACTATGCGACACAAAAAATGGAGTTCTAAACTGGGTGCGCCAGAAAATGCTGGGGGATATTTTTGATGTCTAACATTGGTAATGGCGAAATACTATGGTGATATTTGGGGAGATGCCGGGATGTAGTGGAGACGTCTGCCACTAATGAAAGCGGAACATGACCAACAACTTGTTTTGGGATTTTTGGGTACTCACATTTCAAAAAAATCGGATGTTGAAGATGTAAAGCAACATTTCGAATTCAATATATGTATGTATATACTACATATATATTAATTATGGTAACTACATTTAAATATACGGGCCTTAAAATATACGAACAGGTATTTTAGACTACCTCCGGGAAGGTTTTTCTTGGCCCCCCAGGCCATTTGAACATACGGAATCCAATTCATTTAAACATACGGGTGCTGCATTTAAATATACGAACTGGTATTTCATACTACCTCCGGGGCCTCGCGGTCTGGCCCGCCCTCCACATATTTAAATGTCGTTACCGTATGTATATATGTGTATTAATATACATACATATCATATATACATCATATGTATGCGCGTGCATGTGCAGAACAACATGTTCATAACCGAGTGAAATCGGGTTTAAGTTTAAAATAGGATACCCCTCAATCAATTGACTAGCCCTCATGATCCCCATCAACATGTACATTCTGAGGATATCCCATATTTTTCACAAAACCATAAATCAACTTAGCTCAAAAATAAGAAGAAACAGTTGGGTGCTGGATTGGCCTCTTGTGAGGATCAAAATAAGCCTTCGGACTATGAATTTCTTGGGGCTATTTATGAAAGATTTTGAAAGTATGGGATAACAAGACGAAGAATGCATCAGTGGGCTGCCCTCTGGATTTCTGGTTGACATTGCGGCATCACCTTCTTGGCGGTGAACTACCCACGAAGCGCAAGTGAATTAGTTAAAGTTAAGCCCAGTGAATTCAGTAGGGTAAGCCACTTACGCTGGCTTTTCACCAGACAGTATGCTCGTGTGCTATAATTGGTTTATAACTACAATCAGTTTGTTTTTGAACCCCATCCCATTTCCGGGGGTGAACCACCAATTCACCCCCGCTGCTTTCACAAACCGCCGCCAGCATGCGAAAGCGTGCGAGCGCGCTGAGGAGGGCGCTGGCGTCGCTTCGCTGTGGACACCCTCTGTGGCCGGCAGAGCCCATTGAATTTCCTGGCCGTGGTGGGTTCAGGCCTGAGGAATGGGGTTCTGATGGATTTTATAGTACGACATGTCATCAAACTCAGCGGTTGGACACGAAGACTAGTGGTTTGATCAATAGAAATACTGAAATAAGGAGCAGGAAAACATGTAGGTAAACGGACACATATGACACATATTATACATATTATTGATTTAAACATCAAACATGATGGAAAAATATGGGGAACATGAATTTTAAATTCCTTAATGAAACACATCAAAATCCCTTCCCGCTAAAATTAAAGGCACCCCAGAATAAAGATTGGACATAGAAGCAGGTCGACACGTTTTTGAATTGTTATGTGGTTGCCTTTGTCCGGCCTTTTATATAAATTAAACTGCTGAGACTGGCGTGTACACCCCTGCACCCCCCTATTTGGATTTTCAAGGAACCATTGGGGACCATTTCAATGGAATGGACCGTCAGGAACTGGCATTCTGGGAGCTCTTGAAGCACATGATTCTAAACGGCATCTGAAGGGAATCCACAACTCAAAAGTCTTGTCTCACCGTCCTCGGCAGCAAATCCGAATGCATTCAAAAGGAGTCTGAAGACAGCATAAAAAGAGTATGAGAGCAGTCTGAAAAGAACCGGAAAGCAGGTTGAAAGGAGCCTGAAATCACCTTGGAAAGAAATTTGAAATCATGTTTAGAGGAATATAAGAAATTATAAAAGCACCCTGAACAGGAATCCCAGAATTCTAAACTTCCTTCGGATATATAACAACAACAATGTCAACACCCCATTGCGCTCTGTCCTTCGGCAGGGGGAGGTGGTAATACTACGGGAACATTATTATACAAAATGAGATGTTACTGGAGCAGTATATGGAGGTTTCCTGAAATGGGGGGTGCCCCCAAATCATCCATTTGAATAGGATTTTCCATTATAAACCAACCATTTTGGGAATCCCCTATTTATGTAAACCCCCATACGTTGAACTTTGTAACTTGACCCCATGAATTGGTGTTGGATGCCGAATCGTTCAATAGTGAAAAAACAAAAAACAACAAAAATCTGTTCCAACAAGGGGTTCGGCTAAATAGTATTCTCTTGTTGGTTTTGAGGCTGCAAAAATGTCTACGCTGTCTAGACTGTGACCCCCTAACTTGTTGGCTGTGATCATTCTGGACAATTAATCCTCTATATGCGCCTACTCTAAACTAGCATTTAAAAATATCCGCAAATACCCACTGTTTCTGGGTGTCTGCTGGCCTTCGGCAGGAAAGTATCCATGCAAAACAAAAAAAAAAGATAAGTCACAGCTGAGGTTTCTTAAGCTCCCGCAGAATATTCGGTCTTCCGAAGCTTGCAGTTGCAGAAATTAGACCAAATTCATTCCATGTTGGGATGGTTCCCCCTAGATCCCCCCGCTGTGCAAACATCATTTACTGTGAGGTCAGCCAGCGATACGCCCCTCAGAATTTAGGAGCTAACATGCCATGCCGATTTTTCCCCTACTAGGTTCAAAGCCTGGATCTGAAGTGCAATGACCGTTTCGGATTCTTAACAGGGTCCGACTTCGGCCCAAAACCAGGGGTGTAATTCTTGAGCTTGTATACGTGTCCATTCATCTCAGGCATTTTGTCACTGATTTAAGGGTTTCCCAAGCATGGAATCACTTGGTGGTTCATCACATGGGTATGTGGGGATAGCCTGGGATGAAAAGCAATGCAGTGCACTCCATGTAGGGTTCATAGGATAAACCACCAAAGCAGTATATCTCAAAAAAATGTACCCTTTAAATGGTAAGTTTAAAGAGGAAAATGAGCACGTTGATAGGGAACATATTGAGTAATCCCTGGAATTACAATTTTCAGACAAAGCCGAAAAATCCAGGAACAACTTCAGTCGGACAGCAACGGCATGCAATAAAATCGCGCACCTTGCCGATCTTGCTGACCTTGCTGACCTTGCTTTTTTTGCTGTGCATTTTGCTTTTTCTTCTCAAGAGAACCACCTCAGGAACACCGAGTTCAACAAGGGATTTCAGCAATGAAGCTTTAGCAGACTACAGAAATGGGCAAACTAAGGCGTGGAACTGGGTTGCAACCCCAACTCTAGTTATGGAATGGCAGAATCAGGTATACCCCAGCAGCATTGGAATATCAAAAAGAATGCAAAAACTCATGGAGAACCAATATAAATATGTCGAACTGGTGGAGAACATACATAGTACTCATATAGAGTTTGATAGTTTTTAAGTTATTAATATATTTAAACAATTTTAAACCTTCTATTCGAACTGCTGGTGATGTTTTAGCGGCTTGAAAAGTGTGCGTTGTGCGTATTGTCTGTGACCGGTCTGCTGGGGTGGACGACTTGCTCAGATGCTACTCTGATGATGTGTGGGGCGGGGTGGAATCCAATTCTTAACCAAAAAATGTTGTGAGTGAAAAGTTACAAACAATTTTTAGAGTGAAAGGGTATTCCATTTTGCGATTGCGTTCGAAAAACAAAGGCGAACAGTTGTTTGCGATGGAGCAAAGTGTTTTCTCAGACTGGCAGCAGCTCACAAGTTGACACACGGCATGTTCTCATAATATCTTGTCGCCAAAATGAATTAGTCTGAAAAAAAACTGCATGCTCGAAGATGGTGCCTGGTTCACATTGGTAGGATCGATGTGTGTAGGGGAATGCAAAAAAAAACATTAAAAAAAAACACTTTATCCTCTCAGTTGCCAACTATGTTCGCTCATGGCAATGGCGATGGGAATCAAATGTTCTACAGTAGGACTCGCCCTGGTGCTGAAAAAAATGGTGCCCACTTCTCTCTGAAAATCACCGGCGCTGGCGCTATTGTTTCGGGCACATGGGCTTCACAAATGAATAGTTTTATATACTGCATGATCTTTACAACACTCGGAAAATCCCCATAATTAATTATTGCACAAAAACTAGAAATCACCCAAATAACCACGACAAAGTAATGAAAAAAAACTGCGACATTTATGACTGACATCATTCATCTGATTCGAATTGTTCAAAGTTCCTGAATTGACACGTTCAATTTCCAACTCAGCGGGATGTCTTCCAACATACGTTCATAACTTTGTTTGCAAAAACACCGTAGTTGGCTGTGGTTCCATCCTTCGTGAAACATGTTACCAGTGTTGCGGATGATAACCTCATGGTTTCATGTTTCTGCTAGCACTATCTACAACTTGAACATGATGATATATATATATGCATAATATTATATAATTATACTGTATACTTATGGGTGATTCAATTCATTACATGTTGTCAGGGTCAATAACAATAACTCACTAACCTGATTTTTTTGGCCATTATGGGATACTTACCCTTACATTCACCGTCATCTAAGGTGACGTCGTGACGTGAGGCTTTGATGAAATCTATCCAGTACAGCATGGCATAGCTGCTGCGTACTAGTATGTGCGGGCTACGAGGTGACACAGTTATGCCATGTCATATAATATCCCCATGTCTGACGATTATGATACTTGTCACAGCGGCTGTCGCAACGACGATGCCAAAGACGGCACTTCGATGGTGTGGTCTTGCCAGTATGAATGATTGGACCAGCACAAGACATTGTGGATGGTCAGTGGAAACCTCACGTCCACAATGGCGCTCCCTTTTCATGGCACCCCAAGTTGGCCGTCGTCAGCGGGTACTCCACTTTGGGCGTAGAGTTCCTCATCCAGTAGTCGGTGGACTCCGCTGAAACATTCATGGCCAAAACGTCAAAACTTGCAGCTGAATTCAGCCCAAAAAAGGCTCCGCATCGAACAATGGTGCAAACATGTCGTATTCTGCCATCACATCATCATTACAATCTTTATCACCCTAGGTTGTTAAGAGACACCGTCATGGCATCTTATTTATGCTTATTCTGTTAGAACCAACTTATGACTTATAACTTATAACCCACCTGTAAGTCAACCCTGATGGAATAAAACCCTTGGCTGTTTATTGGGGGGGTGTACCAAATATCATACTATCACTATTTGGAGGATATCCCCATAATTCTTCAAAACATGGCCACTATTCAGGGCCAAGCAGCTTCAACAGATCTCCAGCAGGCTTTTTGAAGCCACAAGACCTCGCTGCGCAGCCCCATCCCCGAACTCAATGGAGCTTTGATCAGAGCGCAAGCGATGTGGATGATTACCGGGTAGAGTAACCTCTGGTAAACATACAAAAAGCTATTAAAAATGATTATTTATAGGGGATTTCCCTATTAAAAATGGTGATTTTCCATAGTTATGTTAGTTTACCAGAGGGTAACTATGGATGATCAAAGTCTGAAACCCCAAAATGACCCAAAATATCCCAAAAGTGTCCGGATTGACGCCCTCATCGGCAGTGTATGGAAACCATGACAGCCATGTGGATCATCCTAACTTGGAGTCCTGTAAAAACCCTGGTTCGAAACAGCGAAAAACCCTCCGGATCCCTCCGGGAATTTCACAGCTGCGAAAATAAACCATTCAATTTAAAAGTTCCTATTCTTGAACATTGTTATTTTCCAAAACAATCTTAAATTACCAGAGGGTACTTTGAGATAAATCGAATGAAGTCCAATCATCACGTATCCGTCTGTTTCGGGACGCCTAAAGCAGGATAAGGACATGGACATGGATTGAAAACTACCATTACACAGCGATCAAAGCTCCCCACGACTTTGACAATGTAATCGTATATAACTACCAACATCATCATCTACCAACTACTTTCATATTTATGAATGTGAGGGACCAAAAAAAATCATCTTTCCAACAATCATGCCGTACCAAAGTGTTCCAACCCATCCCAGAAACGTGAAGCCACCGGGTTCAACTCCCCGTGCAGGTCAGGACATCCAGAAACATGAGTGATTAGTGATCTTGGGTCTTCCACAAGGGTTGTTTAATAGTTTTAATCCATCCCGGATTTGGTAGTAACTGGTACCTGATTACACAACTGTAGGGTTGCTTTGCGGTAGTCTCATAGGCAACTATTCGAAATCTAGCACCCTGAAGACAAAAACATTTCTGATAGGCAAATGTTCATGTTTTATGCATTTTTGCTAAAAATATCAACCGCCGTGGTAAACTTTTTGGTAAACCTTGTCCGTGGCAAATGTGCATTTTTCCGACTCAAGAGTGGGGCAAAATTGTGGCAATAGTTTTGGTAGAGGTTGTGGTATTGTTTTTTCCGTGGTAAACCTGTGGTAAAGGTGTGGCAAACGTGCTGCAATGTTTCGTGGTATTTGTTTCTCCTTTTTTCCTGGAAAATACGCAGTATAAACTAGCAAGGTTTACCACGGCCAAACTTGAAAGGTTTACCACACCTTTTACCACAGTTTTACCACAAAAAAGTCTACCGCAAAAAAGTTTACCACAGCGTCTATCACCTTGTTTTTGTGTGTTTTTGCTATTTGCCTGGGACAGGTTTACCACATCGTTTGCCACAGGGTTTATCACATGTGCTTTCACATGTCCACACCATGGTTGCTCTTTTCGGCGGTGGTGGTGGGAGACATGCAATTCTGAAGAGGACATATTATATTTAGTTGTGTTTTCGGTCGTTGGTTTGTACCGCGTTTGTTTTCCCTAATTAAACAGAAAACCAGACAATAGAACGCAACATCTAGGGAAAAAACGCAAAGTATTTTTTTCCCATAATGGTTCCCCTCGCACTGAAACAGTTTTGCAAAAACATGGGCAAAATACAGCCTGTACGCTCTGTGGCGCGCTTAAAAAAAATGCAGCCACACACACACACAAATTCAAAACTGATAATTGCAACTTGGCAAAGCCCTGCTCCCCCCGTCCTTTGGTGTGACCCTGGATACATTGGTATAGCTGGGTGCACCTTTCCTCTTGTGGGTCCATGGATGCAGCACGCATAGCTTGGGACACTAGCCTTCCCGTCCTCCTCTCTCCCCCTCTTTTTCCTCCTCTTCCCTCAAAACACCCTCTCTCTCCCCATGCCGCATCCCGCATCCTCATCCTCAGGTATGTGTGTGTGTGTGTTTGTGTGTGTTTGTGTGTTTGTGTGTGTTTGTGTGTGTTTGTGTGTGTTTGTGTGTTTGTGTCTGTGTGTTTGTGTGTTTGTGTCTGTGTGTTTGTGTGTGTTTGTGTGTGTTTGTGTGTGTATATGTTCCTTCCTCATGCTGCCCTGCTTCAATTGTCTCGCTGCCGTGTTTTTGCGTTGTTGCCTGTTCTGCTTTGTGCTGTTTGCTCTTCTGCGTGCCAGGGTCAGGTTCCTGTGTGCTTCCTCTCCCCGCTCCCACCCTTTTCTTTTCTTTGTTTTGCCTGCTTGTTGTATGCTCCCTCTGCCTGTTGCCTGCCTTAGTTGTTTTTCCTCTTGTTTCCCCCGTTGTTGTGTTGTGGCTGGCTGTCCTGGTTCCCTCATGTTCTGACCGTTCATGTCGAAGCCCAGGTCAGATTACAAAGTTGGTTCGGTCGCATCATCCACTTCTTAATGCCTGTGAGACTTTTCAATTTCAGACTTGATGCCGTTTGAAAAAGCAGTTGGTGCTGTCTTGTTGCCCTTATTTCAAGGACATTTGTGTGTGTGTAAACCGCTAGCTCTCATGCGGTCAAGAACTAAGGACTATGCATGTAACAAGAAGGGGGGCAGTGAGAACGTTTGTGAGATCACTGCTAACGAAGATGGCCACATTCCCTGGTGATGCATTAGGAGACGTCCTGGTGCGCACCTGCAAAACCAAGCAAGCGGTTCTCATCAAGCTGCTTCAGGTTTCAGATCAGGTCTTTTGCTCGCATCATTCCAAGTCAGAGTAAATCAATTACTCTCTCAGCAGTGCGTGCCCCCAGCGGGATGTATTGTCCAAATCGAGAGACCCTCACCTGGCATGTGGTGAACAACAAAAACATATATGAAAATACGTACCAATGTTAACTGGCTATAGTGCAAGCCTGAAGTTCAACATTGACCTACCCCGGAATGTCGGAATCTTGAACGACAACGTTTCACGTGTCTGCTAGATCTTTGTAAAAAGGAGCCGAAATTGTTTATGCAGGTGCAAAGCGAACGAAGTGGGCTACAGCGAGAAACACATAAACACAATAATACTGTGGTTGAAGGCCATTCATTCCCCTACATCTTAGATGATCTTAGAGTTTTAACTCCTGGGTTTCATGGCACCAAAAGTGTTGAGCTTGGGCATCTGCGACTGAGATACGACGAGGAGGAGCCCCTCAAACACAGTGTGCGCGATCGCCAAACCTACGAAGCGGCGCAACAAACGGATGGATGCCGGACATTTCTGCCAATATGGGTGTGTACCGCATAACCCAATGTATATCATCCTGTTCCCATCAAATGGCAAAGCCAGTTTTGGGGTGAGTCCCTCGGAAATCATCAGTTATTTTTAACACAGAATTAAAGAATGTTGACGTAAAGTGAAAGTTGGGCCATTTTGGGGGGCACCCCATGATGATGTGTAGAGGTGGTCGGCCAACAAGGCACGTGGTGAAATCACAGATTCCCTTGGAATCTGATCTATATCTGGCAGATTTTCCGCATGGCTATTGTGGCTATAAGGCAACCAACGCTAGAAAGAACATGATTACCATCAAGACTTTGAGATTGGTTTGAAGCAAATGACATGTCGAAAAATAATTCCAGGAATATCAGGACACCCTGCTCTATTTTCTTGTGATCTAAGATTGCGTCCAAATACCTATGGTGTGGTAAAGTTAACACCACAAACATCCAACTCAGCATGGTTCAAACTTAAACCATGTCTGTGAACATGTGGGGTGGTTTCATAGGTTTAATAGGTTTACCACATTCATCGGCTTCTAAAAACTAACCTTGGATTTTTCCTTCTACACCTGCCAGAAAGGGCTGCTCTAAAGCTACACTTGAGGAGTTTCCATGCTGCTCTTAGGTTACTGGAGGGTAACCCTAACTGCACCCCCAAGTATCATCTCCTAAAACTTCACTCCTGTGGTCTGATTGAATACACGCTAGTGCTTCACCTTGGAAGCATTTCCCAAGATGGGACCAGCCATCCGACGGTAGATTGATATCCACTATTAATCCTACTTGAACACAGTTGTAAGTTGTAAACCAATTTGGCGATATAATATATATATATATATAGGAAATAATATGTACACATTCAAATCATCGAATATATATATATATATGTAAATGTAAGTGTATATATGATGCAGCCTCCCAGGTCCCCCCCCAAAGGGTATGGGTATATGGGTATAAAGCTATGGGTATACAGGAGCTATGTTCCCCTCCCTGTGGGTGGGTGGGGGGGTAGTAGGAGTAGTAGTAGTAGTAGTAGTAGCAGTAGTAGTAGTAGAAGTAGTAGTAGTAGTAGTTGTTGTTGTTGTTGTTAGTTGTTAGTTGTAGTGAGTAGTAGTTAGTAGTAGTTAGTAGTAGGAATGGGTATGGATATACAGGAGCTATGTTCCCCGCCCCCCCCTGTGGGTGGGTGGGGGCGTGATATGTAAATATATATATATGTAAATATGTATGTGTATATATATATGTGTGTGTATGTATGTATGTATGTATGTATGTATGACTGTATGTATGTATGTATGTATGTATATATATATATGTAAATTATAGGACCGGGCAACCCCACATGTTAACAACTGCTCCAGGCTTAGACTGAGCATAGGAAAGCAAGAAGGGACGAGGAAGTATGAGAGTGATGGAGGGGTGATGGTGGGTGAGTTTTGTGTACATGTGTGATGGCGTGTGTATGGATGGTGATATGGTGATATGTTTGCGGCGCAAATATAAGAATCCGATGATGTATGTTTCAGTTACTATGTATATTTACTCCTCCCGTCGCTCCGCAGAATTTTTTGCTTCTAGGCATATCGGTTGTCCAAGTGCCATAGACCAGCATCATGACCTGAGCAGACACAGCATGAATAAACAAGCCATGATAAGCTCACAAGCAATCAATCTGAATGAGCTGAGTTGATACATCGCCGTGCCCTGCTTCTGAAGAGCCATACGTTTTTTTTCTGGCCAGCGAGGTCAACAAGTCGCGTTAAATTTGGACAAGTGATGTATATGTGATGAGTAAAGTGCCGCGCCTGCCACGCAAAAGCCACCGGCTGAGTGAGTGATGTGTGTGTGTGTGTGATGTGTGTGATGTGTGTGATGTGTGTGATGTGTGTGATGTGCGTGATGTGTGTGATGTGTGTGATGTGTGTGTGATGTGTGTGTGATGTGTGGGGTTGATGTGTGTGTGTGTGTGTGATGTGTGTGATGTGTGTGATGTGTGTGATGTGCGTGATGTGTGTGATGTGTGTGATGTGTGTGTGTGATGTGTGTGTGTGATGTGTGTGATGTGTGTGTGATGTGTGTGTGATGTGTGTGTGTGTGATGTGTGTGTGATGTGTGTGTGATGTGTGTGATGTGTGGATGTGTGTGTGATGTGTGTGTGGTGTGTGTGTGATGTGTGTGTGTGATGTGTGTGATGTGTGTGTGTGATGTGTGTGATGTGTGTGATGTGTGTGATGTGTGTGATGTGTGTGATGTGTGTGATGTGTGTGATGTGTGTGATGTGTGTGATGTGTGTGATGTGTGTGATGTGTGTGATGTGTGTGTGTGTGCTGTGTGCTGTGTGCTGTGTGCTGTGTGCTGCGTGTTGCGTGTTGCGTGTTGCGTGTTGCGGAGGGACGCCAGGGCGTACATCGGACCCCTTCGCAGGACGCCAACGGCCACGCCTGCCACGCAAAAGTCACCGGCAGAGCGGCGGAGCCACCGGCAGAGCGGCGGAGACCAAGGGACACCGAAGGGAAGCCAGGGCGTACATCCGACCCCTTGGCAGAGCACCAAGTGCCGCGCCTGCCACGCAAAAGCCACCGGCTGAGTGAGTGATGTGTGTGAGTGAGTGATGTGTGTGATGTGTCTGTGAGTAAAGTGCCGCGCCTGCCAGGCAAAAGCCACCGGCAGAGCGGCGGAGACCAAGGGACACCGGAGGAGCGCCAGGGCGTACATCCGACCCCTTGGCAGAGCACCAAGTGCCGCGCCTGGCACGCAAAAGCCACCGGCAGAGCGGCGGAGACCAAGGGACACCGGAGGGACGCCAGGGCGTACATCCGACCCCTTGGCAGTGCACCAAGTGCCGCGCCTGCCACGAAAAAGCCACCAGCAGAGTGTGATGAGTGAGTGTGTATGTGTGTGTGTCTATGTGATTGTGTGAGTGATGTGTGTGAGTGTGATGTGTGATGAGTGTGTGTGTGTGTGAGAGTGTGAGTGTGTGTGTCTGCGTGTGAGTGTGATGATGTGTGTGTGAGAAGACAGGAGGCAGGAGGGACGGGAGGACGGAGGAAGGCGGAGCGGAGACAGAACTAAAAACAAAAACACACGTCAATGTGGGGAAATAAATATATATATATATATATATGTATGTATGTGGATATATATATATATATGTTTGTATGCATGTATATATATATGCATATATATATATATGTAAATGAAAATATTTATATGTATAAATATATATATATATATGTAAATATATATATATATGTATAAATATGAATATGTGTTTATTTTGAATATATATATGTATGTATGCATGTATGTACGTATGTATGTATGTATGTCATGCATGGATGGATGGATGGATGGATGGGTGGATGTATGTATGTATGTATGTATGTACGTATGTATGTATGTATGTCATGCATGGATGGATGGATGGGTGGATGGATGAATGGATGGATGTATGTATGCATGTATGTATGTATGTATATGTATATATATATATGTGTGTGTGTGTCTATAATATATATATATATATGAAGTAGATACATAGCACGTGTATATATAACTTTAGGTAGCACGTAGGTACTTTGAGGGAGTATGTGTGCTACGTAGGTTGTTTAAAAGATAGCATGTACCTAGTATATGCGAGGCTGGTAGTCAGAATCGCTGCAAGAACCTAGCAAATACGAGGCTGGACCTCAGAAATGCTGCCAATAGCGTGCAAATAGGAGGGAACGGGGTGCTACCTGGGGACCCATCCCATTGGGGGGGGGGACCTCGTGGGCGGAAGACGGGATCATATACTGTATATATATATATGTGTGTGTGTGTACATATTCCATATCCCGGAACGTATTTCCATTATAGACATGATTGGTGCTTTGTAGCTCCGCTGTTCTGCAGGTATATTGTGGGCCCCTGGTTCTTACATCCCCATGTCAGAAGGTGAACTCCGAAGAACACCAACAAGTCCGAAGTAATCATGGTTCCATACGTTTTTGCACAGCTGTTCTGGACATAAAATGATGTTTAAATACCTTCATTGTCCATCATTGTCCTTCACATTTCACAAAGGTTTACATAAGCCTAAGTACATATAAAATGATTCCTTATCAGGTTTCATATTTGGGGATGGGTCGAAACCTACCAGACATTTCAGGAGAATGAACATCCAAAACCACCAGCTCTGTGGTTGGAAAACTCATAGCTCCGTTCACAGATACCTCCATTCACCACTCCCACCACAAGGTGATATCAATGACCGTTGGGTTTACGGTAGATCTGTAGATCTATCGAACAAGTTCATGGGGGAACATCAACCAAACATTGCACCGGGGTGAATCGCCTTGTACAGCCGCACAGCAGCACATACTGGTTGGTTGATAATGATAATTCTTATCCCTATAATAATTGTTTACAAGTATGTGTATGTGTATATATATATACACACATACAGATACAATTACCATAAATATCCATGGATCATCCCCACTAACCCAGGTAGCGTATACAACCCTCACTCAAACCCATCAGTCCCATGTGAACACAGTTAAATCTCCAGAACAAATCCCAGTCAAATCCAAACCAAATCTCAATTAAAATCCATTAAGCAGGATCAACCCATCTACCCTGAAACCAGATTTCAGCCCAAATACCCTGTGGTAATTTAGCGTAGTTATGGATTTGTTTTTCCAGAATTGTATTTCATTTATATTGTAAATCAACTAATAAAGGTTAAATTATATTAAATGGACCATTTTCCATAGCAAACTCTTACAAAACCAGATGGTATATCCCATTAAGTGGATCCTTAAATCCCATTAAATCACATTAAACCCCCAATCAATCCCCAACTATGGATTATTTCCCTGACATTTTCCTAGTTAAATCTGGTCAATCTCAATTCCACGCCTTGCCAACTCCACTGGTCGTAGATGATTCCACCAAGCCCCGTGGACAGTGCCACCTAAAAATCTGACATGTTGAATAAAGCAGAAAACAAGGGCATTGTAACCAAAGCAACAGGAAATAATAAGGGAAACATATCGAAACAAGATCTATACATGGTTTAGAAACTTCAAACTCTATATTAATTTTACTGTATCCCCATTATTCCTTTCCCCCGTTCATAGTAAACACCACCCAAAACGACGGTGGATGTAGGGGATGAAACCACATATTTGGGACTTAGAATGGTGGTGTTTAAAATGCAAATGGATGGGATTATAGGGGAAACATCATCTATAGTTGGTTTAGAATAAAATTATATAACGTGTGTGTAACTCGGGTTCTTGGGAGATATATCTATAGCTAATGACACATGGTGGTATATAATGGAGAGATAGTTAAAATATGTTATAATTGTTATAATGGGCATGTTTTGAATAATGAGGAACATTTGGGGATGCCAATTGGAAATATGTAGGGAAAATCCCATCTCCGGTTTGTTTGTATTCAACGCTCCCATTCTATGGCCCTATAAATATGTGATTTCATCTCTGCATCCACCATGTTTTTTTGGGGGATGTGTTTGTTTTCCGGGGCAAGGTATCAAAGAGAATAAAATAAAATCAACATATGTCGAAATACAGTTTGAGTTTCAGAATAAAAACGATTAGCGGAACATGTATGACGTTTCCCCAACAGAAATGATTGCCCCTTGGTCATTTAAAATAGCAATGGAAATCACTGTTTTTAATAGGTGTAAAAGCCATCCATAAATATAGTGACTATAATTTATGGATTGTGATAATCCACAATATCGGATATTGAAACACCATTATATAAATATATATATTTTTTTTTGACCCCTCAGCAATGATTTATCAACTATATAAACTATATCATTATACCTTATTATATCCCACTATGTCCCCATATGTTTGATGGTTAAATCCCATTTAAATGCCACTATATCATCCCCGCAGAATTTTTCAACAGCACTCTATTGGTTCCAATCAATTTCCCATAGAAAGTTCGTTGCTGGATGGCTCATATTATGTTAGCTTTTGCAGCTTAATCCAACCAATGTTTTCGCGGTCGCTATCAAAATCCTCCTTCAGGCTGATCTCGGATGATATATATAATATATAAATATACACGTGTGTGTATATATATATTCTCTCTCTCTCTCCCCAATAGCTCATCTGTATAGCTATGTAAAATCATCCTGGAGTAGGATAAAATATGGAAGTTGCAAAAAATCCCAACTAAAATGGGAACATATTTGACATGTGCATATTCTACTCCAGGGTGATTATATATATATTACATTGCTGGTTGTAAGGTCAATATAATCACATGAACATTAACCAATAATTATGAGTAATGATTCTTTAAAACCAATCCTTCACCAATACACCAAGCCTTAGCTGACTATTCACCAATTGCTGCTAGTGAAGTTCAATGTGTTTTGTTTCCCCTAAACCAGAAACACAAACTCGGGAGTTCCTCATTTCTTCTGGCTAGGCAAACCATAATGTTTTCCCTCCTTACCTTGCCATGTTTTGTTCTCAACAGAATCTTTTGGTCAAACTGTCAAACCTCTATTTTTATCTGATCAAAACAGTTTTCTGGTCAAACCTACTTTGTTCTGGCCTGTGCATTCCAAGTAAAACCCAATCTTTCTTGACAAAAAATCTCCCTACCGCCCTACCGCCGTACTCGCACCGAGCCACGGTCAAGGTCATGGTGCTCAGCGAAGTCGAGGTGGCTTGACGCGAGGCACCTGCTCAGTGGCTAGGTAGCCAAGGCTACAGGATTTTTGTTTAACCCTAACGTGTTGGGCTTACAAACATATTAGTGACAACTCGCGGTGCACCTTGTAGGTAAGTGAAACCCACAGAAAAAATAAAGACTGGAAAACCGCACAAGTCAACTTCTTCCAATAAACAGTTTAATAATCAAAAACTGTGTTTGAAGCAGTACCAGGAAGGCAGGAAAGACAAAGGAAATGGTGGAAGATCGATTGTTGTAAAGAGTTGTATGTGAAAGTGTTACGTGTGAAAGAGTCGTGTATGAAAGAGTTGTGTGCAAGAGTTGACGAAGGTGCGTGTAAGAAAGTCGTGTGAGAAAGTGCTGCATGTGAAAGGGATGCGTGTGATGAAGGAAAAAGTTTTGCATTTTTAAGAGAAGTCGGTGGAAGAGTGGTGTGTGAAAGATGTGTAGTCATCAGGAAGAGATGTGAGTGCGTGTGTGTGTGTGTGAAAGAGATGTAGGTATGTCGATCAAGTGTTCGTGAAAAGGTTGTGCGCGGAAGAGATGTATGCCTGCAGAAGAGCTGCGTGCGAAAGAAAGGTGTACGAAAGTGTTGCGCGTGACCTGTGGCCAAAAGGGGCGCGCCAAGACCATGGAAGCAGGAGAAATGTCGCCAGACAAACTGTGCAGACCGTCATAAAAACAGACGGTCCTCGGCGGCTCGGCAAGCAACAATGGACGCAATGACGTTCTTTGACTCCGGAGACAAATGCGGTGACAATGGCGCATGCAAGCGAGAAAAAATCAGAGAGAAATACCAGTTAGACAATGCGTGCATGCAGAAAAGAAACTTCAGTTCGGTCAATGCTGCCGGATACACAAATCGCAAAAGAAATGGACCGATCAGGGAAACGCAGAGTTGACAGCTGATATGTACTTGTGTCATCTGTTCGTCCACGCGCAGCCACTCTGCGTGAAATCGATACAAAGCAACGCGCGTAGATCTTCGCACGCTGCGTCAATCTATGTCTACTTCATTTCAAAGCGATTCCTTCTGACAGCTTCCGCGCGTGGCGTCAATGATGTGTCAATGTGGCATGACAGCTGGAGAAGCACCTCAGTTCCGTCAGTGATGCTGGATGTCTGCGTGTCAAACAGCCAGCAGCTCAGTTGACTCTTTACAGAGCAGCTGTCCTTTTCGACCGGCCGCTTCGCAAAAAACACGGTTCTTCACAGGTTGTGTCAACCGTCGGCCGTCAGCGACGCAACCAAAGAAGCCTGCACACCAATTCCATTCGACACGTTCGCATTCCTGCCGCATGCTCATTGAGCATGTGGCGGAAATAAGACAGTTGGCGGAGCAGAAATCATACAGGCCACACAAAAGTGGATGTCAGCAAGTGCCACGCCTGCCACAGAGAGTGATCATGGATGGCACCAAGTGCCACGCCTACCACGCAAAGTGCCGCAGCGCCACGTTTAACGTCGTGTGTGATAAAGTTGTGTGAAAAGGTTGTGTGTGAAAGAGTTGTGTGTGACTTGCGTGAAAGAGTTGCGTGTGAGAGAGTTGCGTGTGAAAGAGTTGTGTGTGTGTGTACAAAGTTGTGTGTGAAAGAGTTGTCTGTGACCAAGTTGTGTGACAAAGTTGTGTGCGACTTGTGTGTTACAGAGTTGTGTGTGAAAGAGTTGTGTGTGTGTGACAACGTTGTGTGTTACAGAGTTGTGTGAAAGAGTTGTGTGTGTGACAAAGTTGTGTGTGTGTGTGAAGAACTCGTGTGTGAAAAAAGAGTTGTTTGTGACTTGTGTGTGTGAAAGAGTTGCGTGTGAAAGAGTTGTGTGTGAAAGAGTTGTGTGTGACAAAGTTGTGCGTGTGTGTGACAAAGTTGTGTGTGAAAGAGTTTTGTGTCACAGAATTGTGTGTGTGTGAAAGAGTTGTGTGTGAAGAAGTTGTGTGTGTGTGTGACAAAGTTGTGTGTGGAAGTTGTGTGTGAAAGAGTTGAGTGTGTGTGTGACGTGCGTGTAAAAGAGTTGTGTGTGAGAGAGTTGCGTGTGAAAGAGTTGTGTGTGTGTGTGAAAGAGTTTTGTGTGACCCAAGTTGTGCGTGACAGAGTTGTCTGTGAAGAAGTTGACGCGGAGGCGGACGCAGGCGGGAGTGCACAACAGGCACAACAGAAAAACAAGAACCCCACACAATGATGTGGGGAATGAAAAAAACACATTTGAATGTGATTTTTAGACAGCAGAATCCAAGATGAAATTTACTGTGCGATTGAACACCTTCCAACCCAAGGCATACACACACACACCCTCTTAGCACATATTTGTCAAGTTCAAAGTCACTAAGTAAATATGGCCACATAGGGCCACTTGGCCAAATTTAATAAACCAAACATATGGATGCAAACAAAATACATCCTTAAATTAGCAACTCATTAGTCAAATCTGACCATCGAAATATCTTAGCATAGTGGTTGAAGGGACCAACGCATTTTTCGGCGAGTGGGGGGCGTAGACAATTTCTGAGTGTTTTGCGTCTTTTTTTGTGCGTTCTGATTTCATGTTTTGTTGGTTGATGTTTGGGTTTTCCTAGTGAAATCTTAGGTGGTTGGTGTGTAAACATACAAGAATCAATGACCAACCAAAGTTAATGTGGATGATCGCTATCCACTTGCCAAACTGCTGTCAACCCTGGTTCACAGCCGCACTTTTGATTCTATCACTATCCCCATGCTTACGGCTGCATCGTTACAAGCGTTGATTCGCACATTCCAACCATTTCTATGCGGGACCTTGTATTCTTCGAGTGTGACGTCCCCATGCTGCTTGAAGTCGCTAGCAATGAATCTCTATCCGGTATGTGGGTGATATCCACGATGGGAAATTGAAATGGCTGAGACGCAGCACCAAGCCTTGCTTGAAATCAGCAATGCAGCTGGAAACGGTAGGGTCTTAATTTCATCTATATAGAACCCAGGGTATGCTACCACACTTGGGGGGTGCATTTCCATTGACGCAAGTCATATCCCAACTTATGAGTGTTTTAACTAATTCTCTCTATACCCACTACCCGCATACAGAAAATAATCACATAGTGTCCATTTTTTCTATGGTTGTACTATGTTGTACTCCAAAAAACTTGGTTGCAATTATCTTAGCCATAATGCTATAACTTGATGTACTAGTGTTACCCCCACGTTTAGATCATTTTCCAAGGAAAACCATGGCTTTCAGGGATCCCCAGGGTAGCCTGGCTGGTTTTTGAAGAAGTCATAGACCTTGGGCCATAGGAAGAATAAATCCACCCCAGCAACGAACATCGTCCAAATCCTGGAAGATTCAAGATTTGTTTGGACTGTATTGCTATTTTCTTCTCTTTTCCTGTTCAAAAAATGGTGCAAATCGTTCCCGAATAGTGCTTTCACCCCCAATGCAACATCTTCTCTGAAGCTGCAGCTCTAATGATGCAATGATTTTTAAGAATCTTGCAAGAACGTTCTTGCAGCCTCAGTTTCTGCCTCTTCTCGATCAAAGGAAGCTTAGAGTAAGCCTCCCCAATAAATTTAAAAAATAACATCATAATTTTAATGTATAAGATTGTATAAGTATATATATATATATTGAACTTCCGAAGTATGTTGCTGGTGCACAACGGCACCAAACATATTCCGGCACATGCAAATCCCCGGAATTTCTAAACCATGATGCATGGCCGCAGATCTCCGAGGCTTGTCGGCGCGGCGCAAGTCACCCGAAATGGAATGATGGCTAAACATATTACAGTAATATAGTAAAAACCAACATATTTGAAATAAGCAACCAATTAATATAACTGTGAATAATTAAAAAAAAACTGGACCCCAGTAATCATCCAAATAGCTGGTATTAGCTGGTAAATGAATGTTCATGCCCCTCTAATATGGTAGTAGTAGGTTTTGACCCATCCCCATATATGGCTATGGACCAAAACTTTGAAAGCCAAGTTTTTACATGATGTTCATGTCAGGATGCCAAATATCAACCCTGGATTAACACCCCATTGGTTTTCAATTCAGGCGGGGAACCGTTAGTATCAATTAAATTCACTATGCGGGCGTAACCCCGCGTTCCTGAATCAGCCAGACTTTTGTGAATCCTTCATCAGAATACACATGCGTCACATGCGTCATTCCGTCGCAATCATTTTAAGTTATTATATAATTCTATCCCTCTATCATGTAATTCATATAATATGCACACGAGAGGATTTCAAAACATTTTCCCGGTTACACAGTCGCTAACCCAAACCATGCCAATGCTTCGATCGAGAAACCACAGCTTCCTGGGCTCAGGGTCGGAGTTTTTCACGCTGACGACATGTTTAATTTGGCCGTTTACCCTCGGCAAAAAAAAACATGGCGAAGGTAAACAGGCAAACCCCCTTTGGATATCCATTGTAGATTGTTTACTGAAAACTGGAGTCCTAATGAGTTCCCAATGTCGAATTTGATTGCTGAGGTATGAACAAAAGTCCCCATGAATCAACCAGCAAGTTGTGGGACAAAGGTAGAGTTTCTTCCGGTAAACCCAATGGTCCTGAGACGGTACAACACTGGGGATTGAAAGACAGACCGACAGATTCTCTCTCACCCGACAAGATTGTGTGATTTGTTTGGGAATCAAACATGGAAAAAACTACGATAAGTATATATATATATGATATTTATTTATGCATGCTTTTGTTAAGGAACAATATATATATAGATAGATAGATAGATAGATAGATAGATAGATAGATAGATATGTATATATATATATGACCATATATATATATGTATATACGCATATCTACATATATACACACTGATACATTGTTTCAAGCTGGTCAGACCAAAGAGGACAGTGCCCCAGTTTTCTGTCACCGAGCATCGATGGACATGGTGGGATCTAAGGAGTGCAAACACAGCATCTCCACGAGAATGGCCCACTCCTGGGCGTTGGGTAAAAAAAAAGGGCTGCCATCGAATGGTGGGGATGAGAATCCCCAAATATTGGAAGTCATATATATATATATATACACACACACATATATATATATATATACACATACATATATATATATATATACACATATAACTATACATATATATATATATACATAATGTATATATATATATGGGTGTTTCCATAAATGGGGGTACCCCAATTGTTGGATGGTTTATTTCATGGAAAATCCGATTAAAATGAGTAAACATGGATGATTTGCGGGTACCCCTATTTTAGGCAATCACCATATTAAACAAAAAAAACAATCACTGGGTTTTGATATCCTTACATCCTTACAACCAGAATGTTGGGATGTACATCCAAGTAGCGATATTCCCCAGTTGGGCAGGTGATGGAACCTGCGTGGTTGAACTTAGTGATCCCAAATAAGGTTGAAAACTAAACAGATTTGAAACCAGTAACCTATAGCTACTCTCCAAAGAAACTGGATTGGCTAGGGCCCTACACGGACAATCAAATTAATTCGATCAATAAAGTCATCGGACGAAGATGCCAAATCTAGTTGATCCATTCTGTAAAACCAAGATATTCTGGTTGGTGGTGCCATGTGCCCATCTTGAAAAATATGAGTGCGTCAATGGGAAGGATGACATCCCATATATGAAATGGAAGTCATAAAGCCATGTTTGAAACCACCAACCAGGTATAGTATATGTATAGTATATGTATAGTATATTAAAGTACCATTACAAGAAACATTACATAACCATTAAATAACCACTACATATGTATAGTAAGCTGAAGGGATCTACTTAATGTGAACCACTACGGCACCGAAGATGGCAATTGGTAGAGATATTTTCACTCTTGTCAGCGAGAACTCTTTCCCGGTTTTTTTTTGTGGCATTTGAATTCTTCAGAACCCAGAGGCCATGAGAAAACGTTTTTTTCCACGCGATGCCACCTAGTTAGCTACGTTGGTTTATAACGAACGGTAAACCGTTTGATCCATTATGGATCATTATGGTAGATTATTGTGTAATTTGTATGTACCAACGCCGTGTGTTGCCCAGACATGAAAATATTGAGGATGTCGAACAAGTCGAATATGATAGGAGAGGCTGCAGAAAATACGCTAGTATACGCAGTGTTTTCTGGTTTAGGATTCACAGTTTTCAGGGTTTAGGTTTTAGGGTTGAAGGTTTTACGGCCCATCACGCGGGGCCACAATATGAATATCATTATACATCCCATACATTTCACCAGGGTTAAATTTGGAGATTATGAAAATAGGGAGACAACCCAAGTGGATCGCTCAGTATGTGTTTCTCTTTTCAATGAGGGGGCCCTGGGCTACCAGTTATAGCCGCTCCCCAGTGCCGCTGGTATCCATTCTTCGAGACGGATGTAGATGGAGATACCACATGTCACAACGACCATATGTTGTGTTTCTGATATTTTCTGATGACAATCCGCTCCTGGCGAATCATCAAACCACAATGGAACTATTTTGTGGTTTGGGATGAATGAATTCATTCTCCGTTCACGAATCCGCCCAGCCCAAAGGCCCAAAGCCAGGAGTCGTCTTGAGTGAAAGCTATGGCCAGAATGCAGGCAGTTAAATGAAGCAAAGTCATTGGAAGAGCGACCCAAATTCCAAACTGCCTGAAGCCGGTTCAGACAGCGAAAGGCAAAAGTTCTGCCACGTCACGTCATTACCCTCTGGTAATTTAACATAGCTATTGAAAATGGCAATTTATAGTTGATTTGCCCATTAAAAATGGTGATTTTCCATAGTTATGTTAGTTTACCAGAGGGTACTTTGTGTAGGTCGGTTGTATAACTCAGGTTTCATACCCAACCAACAAGGGTATCTTCAATGGCTCACGCGTATATACGACCCCTAGATCCCCGGAACCAGAAAAACCTGACTGGAAACGTGAATGACAATTGTGCAAATGGATTGTGACGTCCTTTCCATGTATATCCGTCTATATATAATACATGATACTGTATATAGTATGTAGTATAATATACACAGAAGGCCTAAAAAAAGGTCAAAGATTATCTGCAACAATCCCGCAAACATCTGGCAAAAACTGTCAGAATCACGCAAATCTAGAAATGTCGTAGATATTCGTAGATTTGTTTTCCAGACTTCCGTGAAAATGCCAGGAAACGCTGAAATCTATGAAATGTCCTACAGAACGGAATTCATAAAGAGTTTCTGAGTTTTCCGGACTTAGAAGGTGCATGATACGGTATGTATGTATATATATATATATATGTATGCGTATGTATGTATGGATGTATGCTGTATGTACATATGTAATATACACCTATGTTTAGCTATATATAAGCAGGGATACTCGGACACAACCCACACGAAACTGGACTAAACGTCCAGGATCGTCCACGTGTATCTGCCTCCATTGCGGCGCCCAACCTTTATTGCTGTCATGCTTACCTGAATAAGTGTGCCATACTTAGGGCGAATGTTGATACTATTGAAGTTGATCAGTATAGTCTAGTGTATAAACATGGAACATCTGGGAATCTGGGACTGGGACTTTTGAGTATTCCTGGTAACAAAGTTGCGATCAATGTGATCCATCACCTAAATCTCCACCGTGTGTGTTCTTCTTTAGAAAAATAACTAGAAATCCCAAACCCTATATATCTACTATTCAAAATAGTGATGTGTATTACTTTTGTATATGCTTGATTCTTGTTGGGGGTTGCTGTAAGGATTTCTCCTATCACATTTCTTCCACACCACGAATCACCCACATCCACGTCACAAATCCAAGCGGCAGTTGCACGTGTTGGACCACGGTTCTTCCCAGAAAACCACCAGCAACTGCCAGACCCGCGTGCCAAATGGGCCATGACATGTCTCGAAAGTAGAGCAAAAGGGCCTGGAGCTTTATCGCCATGATGTGTCAACATCATGGCCATTGGAAATAAGGCCACTTAGATTCATGGCTAAAAAAATCACACTTATAGATTCATGGCCTACAATTGGGTGGGCTCCAGATTTATGATATGAGATAGGCACACATAAAAACAACAGAAAAAACACGTGTAAACTCAATGTGGGGCTGTGAGTAAGTGTTGGATGTACCGAGAGTTTTGGGTTAGTTTGAGAGAACAGCTTGCAGGAAACTATGGTGTTTTTTATGGTATCCCTAAAAAACACTTTGAACACAAAGTACAGTATACAATATACAATCTTAAACTTCTATGATTACCAGGATTGGGTAGAATTGGTGATCCAATTGATCCAAAGAACTGTGAGTTGCCTTGGAAACTTGAGATACAGTTCATGGCTGACCTTGACCTTGGATACCCTTCAAAGATAAACTGGTTCTTGAAATGCAGTTGTTTATCCTATCAAAAAGGGGATAACTTCGGCCAATATGTCGCTGCTGTGAAACAAACAAGGCAGGCCACCTGCACACGGGCCGTTCAGTGGGGGCCAAATCTTAAAATCCACCGCAGATCTCAGTCGACACTTTTTAGTATGACTTGTGACCCATTGGCAAGTCAAATTCGTGGCTGTGGCAAAGAATGATTGCACACTAAAGGCACAGGAAACAGCATGGTTGGTCACATGTCAGACAGGTCTGGCTGAATTAAAATAATTGTTGGTCACCATCCTGAAAGTTGCTGCTGAACAATTCGATTTGGGTTGCTGATTCCCTTACTATCCAACCTTCCAGTGACGTCAGAATGAGGTCATTGTAATTCATCGAAATATGCATGCCAGTAAATACGTATAATATATATATATACATACGTCATGTGATTTATGGGTCTTGGATCGGGGAGTCTCATACGTCATACGGTGACTACATCTAAAGATACGGATTTTTAGATATACGAACTGGTATTTTAGACCGCGTACCTCTGGGAAGGTTTTCCTTGGCCCGCCCGGCCATTTAAACATACAGAATCCAATTTATTTAAAATTTAAACATACCTTAAAATATATAACGGATGGAACTGGTGTTTCATACTAACGGGGCCTTGTGGTCTGGCCCGCCTTCCACACATTTAAATAACGTTACCTTGACGTTTCTATCTCTTTGGGGGGTGCTATCTATATATACATATATATACATATATATATATATATAACCCGCAAACCCTATATATATATATATAGTATCTAAATTATCTAAATAACTATATAATTATACAACATTATATAACCATATCGTTCAAAATTGCGAAACATTGTCCACCAAAAAGCACTTTTAGCTTGGCATGTCTCACTGTCTGTTACCCTCTGTAAACTAACATAGCTATTGAAATTCATCATTAGGTAAATCATGGTAAATCAAGTATAGATGGTCCATGTTCAGCCATGTTAAACTACCAGAGGGTAGTGGGAGATGAATTCCCTGACATTATCCCCTCATTGTGATGTCTTGGTTCTGTTTCCATTTTATACAGTTATATTATCGAAGGAAGTTTAGAAGTCAAACTTCCGACAATATGGAGAGATGAAAAGCAGAGCAGGGAAGAGGCATAGAGAAGAGAAAGATTAGAAGAGAAAGAGTAAGAAGACAGAAGATACAGATGCGCGAAAAGGTAGGAAAGTCGCGAAACACTGTGTTTTTCCAATGATTGCACACCGTTGTGGCGCGAAGCACATTTCCAAGTGAAAATGTACAAAACACACCATTCTCGGACCACTTTTGGAAGTTGCGATGTCGAAAAAGTGCACGCCGTTGTGGCGCGAAGCACATTTCCAAGTCAAAATGCACAAAACACACCATGGTCGGACCACTTTTGGAAGTTGAGATGTCGAAAAAGTGCACGCCGTTGTGGCGGGAAGCACATTTCCAAGTCAAAATGTACAAAACACACCATGCTCGGACCACTTTTGGAAGTTGCGATGTCGAAAAAGTGCACGCCGTTGTGGCGCGAAGCACATTTCCAAGTGTACAAAACACAAAATGTACGAAAAAGTGCAAAGCACACCATGTGCAAAACACACCATTCTCGGACCACTTTTGGAAGTTGAGATGTCGAAAAAGTGCACGCCGTTGTGGCGCGAAGCACATTTCCAAGTCAAAAGTGTAAAAAAACTGAGGGTTTTGAGCCTTTTTTGACGTTAAGATGTCGAAAAAGTAGACACTGATTAACTTAACTAACTTGACTAACTTAACTACACAGATAAATACCACTGCACTCCATTACCCCATCTTCCACTACACTTCACTACATTACACTGCACTACCCTCCACTAAAATACAACTACACCTGCAACTCCACAACTACACTCCACTACACTACACTGCACTCAATAACACTCAATTACACTACATTGCCGACAGACAGATAGATAGATAGATAGATAGGTAGACAGCTAGACAGATAGACCGATGAAAGAGAGAGAGAGAGAGAGATAGATAGATAGATAGACAGGTAGACAGCTAGACAGATAGACAGATGAAAGAGAGAGAGAGAGATAGATAGATAGATAGGTAGATAGATAGATAGATAGATAGGTAGATAGGTAGATAGGTAGATAATGGTAGATAGGTAGATAGGTAGATAGGTAGATAGGTAGATAGGTAGATAGGTAATGAGATGAAAGAGGGAAAGAGAGAGATAGACAGCTAGATCAACAGATAGATAGATACATAGAAAATAGATGGGTAGGTAGGTAGATAGCCAGAGAAAGAGAGAGAAAGAGAGGAGACCTCAAGCACCTTTCGGTCCGTCAGTGGCTTCGCTCTGCCATCCCTGATTCACAACAACCAACCTCTCCTATAGGTTTCCTATTTTTGAAACTTCCGCCACCGCCTTGTGCGGTACTACTGGTATACCTTTAACCCAATTATTGTTGGTCATTTCCCCCTATAGGATGAAAACACGCATCAGGTAGGGTATGACAACAAAATCCATGTCATCCCGTAGCGCTTTGGCTCAAATTTGGCTTCCCGATGGATGAAAATCAATTGTATAAACATCAGGAACCAAGCGTTGTATTATGTGATCATCCAATCTTAAGTACTTATTAGGTTTTAAGATGTTTTAAGTATTAAAATTATTAAATCCTCATAGATGATCATCTCTAAATTCCCACCGAAAAGACATCAAATATTGCCACCGAATCGGGCCGGAAGGTTGTCGGTCAACAATTTAGACCCAGGGGGCTTCACGAAAAAAACATCAGTTATCTGGTTGGTGGTTTTTCGCCACCCGTCTGAAAAATCAATAAAAGTCAGTTGGGATGATTTTTCCATTCCCAATATGATGGGAAAGTCATAAAAAATGTTCCAAACCACCAACCAGAAATTCAGTTTTTAGGTACTACGTAATACTCAGAGCTATTCTCCATGATGGTCAGCCAGTATCTCCACAGCAAAAAGATCGAGTTAAACTAACATCATCACTCAGTTTTTCCAGTGATATCAGCTAAATATATCTAAAATCTACATATGCCATTTTTGTGGGCCAAACAAATGGTTGAAATCCAAACTGCACATCAAACTTCCATGGCTCTTGGCATGGCCGACCACACATCACTCGGCAAACCTCCCCAGTCAACGGAGTCAACCCAAGTCACTGGCCAAGAGAAACCATTGATGCAGCCGTTGCAGACAGGTAACAGCAAGCACAA